ACAATAAATCATTTTCCAACGGAGACTACCGCTGGTACGTCTCGTGAAGCACAGGTCAATACTTTAAGTAACAATGCGCCATCAGCAGCATCCAACCTCTTAATGGATACGACGGTCGCAGTGATAGATACCTCTTCCTCTCAAACTCAGACCGAAACGGAAGCGCTTGTTACCACAGCTAACCAACCAATCTCATCGCCATCCTCTGTGACAGATACTTCGGCACAGACGACGGCTTTGCCTAACACTTCAACAAAACAGAATCATACTGCCTCAGTTACACCGTCACAGATGATTGAGTTACCATTATCCCAAACAACACTTGGACGTGCTGCGTTGGCTTATCAAGCACCGCATCCAGGGCAAGATGGCGTATATTTATTGACGACAGGAATTAATGCGTTTACGGCTCGAGCGGCTATGATTCGAAGCGCAGAAAAGTTTGTGAATGCGCAATATTATATTTGGGATGGTGATACTACAGGGATGTTGATGATGCAAGAGCTGTGGAACGCTGCCGAACGAGGGGTAAAAATAAAACTTTTGTTGGACGATAATAATACTTCAGGGATGGATGACTATATTCGAGCGATGCAAGCCCATTCCAATATTGAAGTAAAAGTATTTAATCCATTGAAAATACGAAGCCCAAGATGGGTCAATTACTTAATGGAGCCGTTGCGTCTGAATCATCGGATGCATAATAAATCACTAGCAGTGGATGGTGCACTGATGGTTGTAGGAGGGCGTAATGTTGCTGATGATTATTTTGACGGGGGAGCAGATACTTTATTTATTGACCTCGATACCTTAATAACAGGGCCAGCGATACAAAAAGTTGTACAAGAATTTGAGACCTATTGGAACGATGCAAGTGCTTATGCCGTGCTGCGTTTAATGGAGCCTGCGACGCCAGAACAAACGCAAAAATTACTCAATAAATTTTCGGAAGTAGGTGGTTCTTCTGAGGGCCGTACTTACATTAGTGCAGTACAACAAAGTCAACTGATTGAATTATTAAAAACACAAAAGCTGCCAGTGACTTGGACAAAATCAAAAGTCATGTATGACCCTCCCAGCAAGGTCTTGCAGCATGTGCAAGAAAATGAGTTGTTGATTGGTCAGCTACAAGGTTCACTTATGAATGCAACAGATCATGTTGATATAGCTTCGGCTTATTTTATTCCTGGTAAAAAAGGGGCTGAAATTTTAGCTTCTTTACCTGCTAAAGGAGTTCGCACGCGAATTTTAACAAATTCTTTGGCTGCAACTGACGTGCCTGCGGTTCTAGCGGGATATGCAAAATATCGGAAAACACTTCTGAAAGGAGGAGTGGAACTTTATGAGCTTAAACCTGACCCATCAGCAAAAGTAGTACACAACAATGTTTTAATGGGACTGTTTAAAGGAAGCTCCTCAGCGAGTTTGCATGCAAAAACGTTCTTGATTGATAACAAAGAAATTTTTGTAGGTTCTTTTAATCTGGATCCACGTTCAGCACATCTCAATACTGAAATGGGTGTATTGATGGAAAGCCCTGAACTTGCTACTCAAATTCATGATGGCTTTACTAAAGTGGTGGCAAGTACGGCATACAAAGTGACTTTAGAAAATGACCAAATGGTTTGGCGTGACACGACTACCGATGGTAATGTCATCACTTATGAACATGACCCCAATACGACTGGACTTAAACGTCTAGTGGTTAAACTTTTGGCATTACTGCCCATAGAGTGGTTACTATAATTTGACTGTAATTCCAATTCTAAATAGAACGTACAATTTGACTTAGAATTGGAATTGCTAGCTGTTTTGCGTTCCAGAGAAGTTAATAACCATACGTTTACTTACTCCCAAATTTCATAAGGTATCAGGAAAAACAAATGAAACCTGATCCTATCAATTTTTTTCAATTTTCTTGCTGCTGCAAAGCCCACAGTGTCGCATATTGTCCCCCTTTGGCTAGCAACTCGTCATGCGTACCTGTTTCAAGGATACGTCCATCTTGCATCACGATGATTTTATGGGCATTAACAATTGTCGATAAACGATGTGCGATGACCAAGCTCGTACGACCGCGCATTGCTTGGAGCATTTCGTCTTGGATGGCGCGTTCAGTCGCAGAATCCAGACTGGAAGTTGCCTCGTCGAAAACCAAAATAGCTGGGTTTTTAAGCAGTGTTCTGGCAATAGCAATCCGTTGTTTTTCACCACCTGAAAGCTTCAAACCTCGCTCACCTACCATAGTTTCGTAACCTTTTGGTAGTTTTTCTATTAGATCATGAATTTGTGCAGCTTTTGCGGCTTGTTCAACTTCGTGATGACTCGCTAATGGCCGTCCGTATGCGATGTTGTAATAAATGGTATCATTAAATAACACAGTATCTTGGGGCACTATACCGATGTGAGTACGCACTGACTGCTGTTTAACCTGTTGAATATTTTGTCCATCAATCAGGATTTCCCCTGACTGCACATCAAAAAAACGGAATAATAATCGACCAAGGGTGGATTTACCGGAACCAGAGCTACCTACGACAGCAACAATTTGTCCAGCAGGAATGGTAAAACTCACATCTTTTAGGATGGGGCGCTCTGCTTCATACGCAAAATTGACGTGTTTAAATTCGACAGCACCTTGTTGTATCTTCAAAACTGGTGCATTTAGCTCATCTTTAACTTCGATATTTTCCCCCAACAAATTAAACATGCGTTCCAAATCTGTTAAGGCTTGACGGATTTCACGGTATAACATGCCCAAAAAGTTTAAGGGCATATAGAGTTGCAACAATAAACCATTAATCAAGACAAAATCACCAATTGTACGCGAGTGATCACTCACCTCAGTGGCAATTTTCCATAAAATCAAGGTGGTGGCCGTTGCTAAAATCAGTTGTTGGCCCAAATTTAAAACTGACAAAGACATGACCGTTTTGATAGAGGCCGTTTGCCACTGTGCCTGCTGATCATCGTAACGTTTGGCCTCAAAGGCTTCATTGTTAAAATATTTAACCGTTTCATAATTTAACAAACTATCGACTGCTTGTGTGCCAACTTTTGAATCAATTTCATTCATCTGCCGACGCAGCTTATTTCTCCACTCGGTCACACTGATGGTAAATGTTAAATAGGCCACAATTGCAGCTAATGTTATAAATGCGTAAAAAGCTCCGTAAGCCACTCCAAGGTAAGTAAGCGCTAACAAAACCTCCACAATTGTAGGAATCATTGAGTAAAGTGTGTATGAAACCAAAGAACCAACAGCTCCCGTGCCGCGTTCCATATCCCGAGTAACAGAACCTGTTTTACGCGCCAAGTGAAAACGTAAACTCAGCTTATGGAGATGTTCAAACACTTCAACCGACAACACACGAACCGCATGATGGGTAACTTTGGTAAAGACGATTTGACGCAACTCTGTAAATAACGTATTGGAAAACCGTAACAAACCATACATGACCAACAAGGCTACTGGAACAACCACTATCCCAGGTGCGTTAAGCGTATCGACAATTTGCTTTAAAATCAACGGCACGCCTAGGTTAGCGACCTTGGCAGCCACTAATAGAACAATTGCAAAGATAAAGCGTCCCTTATAGAGCCACAAATAAGGCATAAGCTTTTTAATCACAGCCATCGGACTTTCCAAGGTGTGATGAGCAGGAAGGGGGCCAGAAGATGAGCGGTGGCGCATAACGTTCTAATTAAGTTAAGATATTTAATCGATGATGAGATGCCAGCATGACCGCACATCATACCATTGATTCTTCATCACTATCCATTTCAAATCTGAGTACTTCATTAAGTCTATTTAATTTGTGGTGCAAAACACATGGAGAATTAAAATCTCGCAAACCAGATCACTGAGAATATGCCTTCCTACCAGTCGTAAAACATCGACAAAGTATTATACAATCACGGTTTTACCATTTTAAAAGCATAGCGTTTATGATACATCCTTCAAGTCGCGCCTATCGAATTTTTGTGATTACGATGCTTGGCCTCCTCTCTGGCTTGCCACTTGCCCTAACCACCAGTGCCATGCAAGCTTGGCTAACCACTGATGGTATCGATTTGAAAACCATCGGGTTTTTATCATTAGTGGGCTTGCCTTATGTGCTCAAGTTCTTATGGGCTCCACTGATGGATCGTTTTGATTTGCCTTTTTTAGGAAGGCGGCGTGGTTGGATCGTCTTGATGCAATTCTTATTAGCGGTCACAATTTTTGCCTTTTCTAGGCTCACTTATGCTGAAAATGCTGGGCTGTATGCCATCGTTGCAACGTTGATTGCTTTTTTATCCGCTTCTCAAGATGTTGTGATTGATGCCTATCGAACCGATTTATTGCCAGACCATGAAAAAGGGCTTGGAGCTTCCTATGCCACGCTAGGTTATCGACTTGGCATGATTGTTTCGGGAACCATTGGTTTTATTTGGGCAGACGCATGGAAAAATTGGCATGAAGTCTACGCAGCGATGGCTTTAATGATGTTGGCGGGCAGCCTATTTTCTCTGTTAGCGTTACCCAAAGTTGCCGATGTACATGTTGATTATGGTCAACACAGTGTTTGGAACGACCTATTTGGTTTTGCAGCGATGATTGCTGTTGTTATGATTTCTTCTAAACTCATTAGTATGTTAGCGGCTACTATCGGTTTTGATGCTAACGTTGAAACCTTAAGCAAAAATCAGAAAAACTGGATTGACTTAGGCGTATTGTTATTACAAATTGCCGTTGCTGTGCCATTGTCGATGTGGGTGGCTAAAAAAATGAATTTTAAGGCTCTAACGCTCTCCTTGGAAAGCTATTTTAGTATGCCTTATGCCAGTGCCATCTTAGCCTTCATTATTTTGTACAAACTGAGCGACACATTTGCTGGCAGTTTAACCACACCCTTCCTACAAAAAGGCATGGGCTATGGCTTGGCAGAAATTGGTTTTACCTATAAGGCTGTGGGTATGTGGTTGTCAATTCTTGGTGCAATCTTAGGTGGTATGATTTTAGCGCGCATTGGTCTTTTTAAGTCTTTGTTATTTTTTGGTATTTTACAAGTCGTCTCAAATTTTGGTTTTTGGTATTTGTCCGTGATGGGAAAAGGGGCTTGGGGTGGTATTCACATTGATGCTTTTGACTGGAAAATCATCGCCTTAAAAGAAGGCGGCACATTAGATTATTTACTCATGGCAGTCGTTGCTGTCGAACAATTAGCAGGTGGTATGGGTACAGCTGCTTTTGTGGCCTTTTTAATGACCCTTGCCAAACGTGAATTTAGTGCCACCCAATTTGCCTTGTTATCAGCACTGGCAGGCTTTGGTCGCACCATGGTCGGACCTTTTGCTGGCGTTTTATCAGAACAAATGGGCTGGCCATCCTTTTTTGTTTTATCTTGCATCTTAGGCATTCCGGGACTTGCGATGCTATTTTGGGTTAAAAACGCATTTTTGACGCTAGGGCAAGATGATCAACAGCAAAAGACACAAAACGTCTAGCCAATGGATCGTTCGGTGCTATCCTAAAACTTAAGAGAGGAACAAATGAATTTTTCTGGCAAAGTAGCTATCGTGACTGGAGGTGCTTCGGGCATAGGTTTGGCACTCGTCAAACAACTCCAACAAGCAGGTGCGATCGTTTATGCTTGTGACATAGATGAAAAAGCCCTATTAACACTAGCGCAATCTCAGCCCTTCATCAAAACTCGTCTATTAGATGTTACCGATGCCACTGCTGTTGAGCAAACATGGAATGACATTGCACAAAAAGAACAGCGTTTGGACTATGTTTTTAATAATGCGGGCATTGTATCTGCTGGAGAAACTCAAGCAGTGGGATTGGCCTTATGGCAAAAAATGATCTCCATTAACGAATGGGGTGTCATCTACGGTACTGATATTGCCTATAAAATCATGTTAAAACAAGGGTTTGGTCATATTGTTAATACGACCTCAGTTGCAGGTATCATTCCCGTTGCCAATATGGTTCCCTATACGACAGCCAAGTTTGCCGTCACTGGGCTTAGTTTGTCATTGCGAGAGGAAGCACGACCACATGGAATCAAGGTCAGTATCGTTATCCCTGGAGTTACCCAAACCAATATTTTTGCCAAGGCTAATGATGTCGGTACATATAACTCTGAAAAACGGATTAGTAAAGTTCCCATGCATCCAACAACACCGGAACAGGCCGCACAGTTCATTTTATCAGGCGTCACCAAAAATAAAGCCATGATCGCCTTTCCATTTTCAACAAAAATTTTATTAATCCTCAATCGCATCGTACCTAGACTGATGTGGCGCATCGTTCGGTTTTAAAGGGGCTTGCCTATTACGCTCACGAATATGCTCACGAGCAAGCTTTTAATGTATGCATGATCTATCAAGTTTGTAGTCGGCACTTAAAATTTTGCCCATTTACAAGACTTAAGGCACGGGGTCATAACCTGATCGCCCCCATGGATGACAAGAACATATTCGTCGGCAACTCAAAGCGCCACCTTTGAGCAATCCATGTTTTTCAATCGCCGTTAGCGCATAGGCTGAACAGGTCGGCTCAAAACGGCAGTTGGAGCCCAAATACGGACTCACCGTGAGTTGATAACCTCTAATCAACCGCATCGCTATATAAACAAATGGATTTGTACTCATGATGGATCGAGCTGATAAAAATGACGTATCTGAGATTCTAGACGTTGAAAATCTTGCCAGCAGATTTGTTTAAACTGCCCAGTACTCGTTGAGCGTATGGGGCGATCCAAACGCAAAACATAATCTCCTAATGGAAGTTGCCACTGTTTGGATCGAAACCAAGCCCTAGCAACTCGTTTGGCGCGATTACGATCGACGGCACGTTTTAAATGTTTTTTGCCAACTACAACACCTAATCGTGATGGAAATTCCTGTGGCATCGGTAAAATTGGTGTGTCTAACTTTTTGAGTCGGGGATGACGCTTGTCTGTCAATAATAATGACCAAACGTCACCACGAAATCGTTTTCCCAACGAAAAAACGGACGAGAATTCATCCGTTTTAAGGAGACGATGCGCTTTCGTGAACCTGTAAGATTGCTGAAAACTCGAATCGGTTGCCAATTGCAAGACTTAAATTAGGCAATGAAGCAATTTACACAGCTACGCGTTTGCGCCCTTTAGCTCGACGAGCGTTCAAAACTGCGCGTCCACCACGAGTTTTCATGCGAACGAGAAAGCCATGTGTACGTTTGCGACGTGTGGTAGAAGGTTGGTAGGTCCGTTTCATGTTAGTGTCCTAGCTTTTGGATAATAGTGTGATGGATACAGGTCCCTGATCAAGATAAGAAGACCTCTATCCTAAATTTAGCAAGGCGTTAATTTATCTTGAAACCACTATTTTGTCAAGTTAATTGAATGAATTGGTCACACCATTTAAAAATCAATCGCTTGCGCCAAATAGATTAAATCGATAACCCAAACCAAGGTGTAAGGTCAATAAATTAGAGGGTACAGGAGAACTGACTTCAATGTGAACTTTTTCGCCATTCGGTAGCGGTTTGCCCATCAAACCAGGTAGTGCTTTGGTATCAGGAATTTTAGCTGCATCAAAAGAAATCTTAGCTTTTGATACCGTTGGCGCATAAGCGACAACTCCTCGTAGAAACATATCATCAGTTAGCCAATAATTAGCGCCTACCAACATCCCAGCTGCCATTCCCCATTTGACGTTTAACTTGGCATTATCGCCTAGTTGCTCTTTGATAAAATCTTCGTTAATAAAGCGTGGTCTTAAAATGATTTGTGGCACAATGGCAGGTCCGACAAAAGGACGGAACTTGTCGGTTGGCTTGCCAAATGTATAAGATAATGAAATAATTGGATTAATTGCCCAAAGCTTAATCACTCGACCATATCTTGACAGATCACCTTGCCCATAGATTTCGACTTGAGGCGGAAATGGGACCGTAAGGGCTAAAGATGTCAAGCTAATGTTGTCAGTAAAATAATTCTGACTCCAGATGGCCGCATTATTGAAGTTTTTTAACCGAGTCGCAAAACCTTCTTGATATAAATCAATAGGGTAAATATTGATTCCAGGGGAGCCAAGCGTAGAATTCGGTAGATTAATACTTGTCACTTTGGTCGTATTACTCGCTGTCCCCAATGCCAATTGTGACCCAAAACCTACAGAAAACAAACTATCGCCCGCTTTTTGCGCAAAACATTCTGAAGCTGTCGCGATCAATAACCATCCAAACAAAAACCACTTCTTTTGCGCCATGCTTGTCCCCTGTAAGAAATTTGTTACCCAAATCACGCATCTCTTTATGATGCTAGGGTATTAATATAACCGTTTCGTCCATTTCTTTCAAGGCGGATTTACCCACAGATGTTAAACAATAAATGTTTTTTCGTATAACATTTTGATACTAGTCGACAATTATTTGTCATGCGAAAAAAAAATTTATATTCGGGGTCAATCGTCCAGCTGGCATCACTACATTCACTAACGTACTTCTCATCTACCTTGGCGGCTCAAAACTCTTAAACAGAATAGAAAAGCACTCATGATTGAGTCATCTTATACTCAAACCATCGTAATGTGTTAATCATTAAAAAAATCAAA